CTGCCTGCCTGCCCGCCTGCCCGCCCAGCGCCCTCCAAGGTGGTGCGGCTTCCATAGCGACAGCGCGGAGGAGGCCTGCCCGGAACCCTGCCGGGGAGATTGGGGTGCTGGGACCGCCACCGCCATCACCTTGTCAAACGCCCCAAAGCCAGGGGCTGAGAGAGAGAAGGCTGCTTGTCGCGCTTGAGTTTTTCATACAGACAGCTTGCCGTTTGCGTTCAGCGGGCGCGCCTGCAGAGAGATGGGTCCCAGAGGTCCTTCCCTGGTCTGCATCTTGTTTCTGGAAGCTGAACTTGAAAAGAAGGCCTGAGCATGTCATGTTGTCACCGAAATCGGGAATAAACCTCTTAACACCAATGTAGCATTAAGAAGCAGGCATTGTCTTTATTGCAGCGCTGGATGCACTCCACCTAATGTGCATACTGAAAGACAAAGGCACACTCATTATACACATTAAAAAAAATAATATTTATATAATTCCTGAGAAGTACTAATTTTTGAGGAATCTAATGCATATGTTAAATACCTGCCTGTTTCCAGGAAACCTAACGTGTACATTGTGAGACTGCCTCAACACACGCAGGCTTGCTTATCTTGAAGGTACAAAACTTACTGAATTGGGGAAGGGTCGCTCTTCCGCGCATAGGCTTGCTTATCTTGTCAGTACGGAGCTTATACAAAGGGGCCTGTTACTGATATATTAACTGCGTTGTCTAAGTTTTTGGTATCAATGTAAAAAAAAAAAAAAAAAAAAGAGGAAAATCATAAAGAACGTGTGAATTCTTACAGTTCTCAGCAGATCCTGTTATTTTTAGCAACCAGAATCAGAATCTGGACAATTAAAAGGGCACACTTTCCACAGTTTATGGATTTTGTGTGTGTGTGTGTGCAGTGTTTACAGGTTGCTCTAATTACTGATGATGCCAACCTCTGAGAGCTGCTCTAGACAGTGAAAGATGCTGTTCAGGTTCAGAGTGGCCTGAATGAACTGGAGAAATATGAACAAAGGAGAAAATAACTTACTGGGGGCAAGCACAGGGGCCTATACTGAGCCAGGAATAACCAGCTCTATGAATGCAGACAGAGCAGGACCAGCTCACTTGGTAGTTGTTACACAGACAAGAGAGTAGGGAGGTGTATTAGGTAGAATTTACCTCAGTCTGTCACATGATGCCGCTGTTAAAAAAAGGAGATGCTGTACTGTGACATGTAAATGGACATACAGCTTGCAGGATGCAGTAAGCACCATGTCTGTTGTACTCTGCGCAATAAGGCGTCACAGGGAATAGCGTGTCCAGGTTTAGGTGTTGTGTTTCAAGAAGGTTGTGAGTGAATTACAGCCTCAGGGCCTGAGTGCCCTGAGAGGCCTCCGTTGTCCTGAACAGCCTCAGCTGTGGCCTCCACCCCTGCACCAGGCCTGGCCCAGGCCTTGGCCCTTCATTTTCGCCTTGTCTCCAGTCAAATCTGGCCCTGCCTCCTGTTTCTCCTGAAGAAGACCCCAGCTGGTCAGCTCACTTGGGATTGTGTGAGCACCCTGTGGGTAGCATCCTCTTTGCCTGCCCCACTGGGATACGGTGGGACTATGGCTGCCTGATGAGCTTGCCCTTGAGCCCTCTCCGCTGAACCCTGCACTCACTGCTTCCTCTGGGCAGAAAGCAGAGGCAAAAAAGTGAGGCCTATGGGAAGGCTTATCAAGTGGTACTTATTTAGACAAAAGAATAAAAGTCTGTAACTTAGTTACATTCTTAGTGCATATAAAATGCTGCAGTAATTTTCCACATCCAGATGTGAGAAGGAAACTTACAATGAGATAAAAGTGTGACAACTAAGTCTTTGGTTAAACTTAAAGGAAAGCTGGCTCTAAGGTTAACATTTCTCATCCTGGCTTTGTGCTACCACAGACCGGTCACCGTGGGCAGTTACAATCATCAGGTTGCTTCTGGTCTTTCACTTACTTAAAATTTTGCCTGAAATGAAGACCCAGATCATCCAAATATTCTTTGTTGGGCTTAGCTCTGTGACACACTAACAGTTGCTTTCTCTTCAGTGATGCAGCTGAAGAGGGTGATTAGACATGACATACACAGGTGTTTGAACCTATTTAACTTAATGAGGTTATAAAATTGCAGGCTGATTAATTTTGCCATGTGAATAGAATTGTAGTGCTTTGTTGAATTTTAGCTAAAATGATTTCTTGAAACACCTGAAACACTAAGAAGGACTTCTGCACTGTACATACTGTTTACCTGGTAGAGCCAGAAACAAAAAGGAGATTGATCTACAAGAACAGCCTTCTTTTCCAGACTTTGAAATAATTTAGATGTAATGTTGAACTTCGTTACTCACAGTTGGGTCTGTAATAGACAAGTGGTGTATCCAACCCAATTAATATTCTAACTTTTGTTATCTGAGATTAGATTTCCAACTGTGAGGTAAAATAATTTTCCTCTTTGCACAGATGCATAAAAAATGAATACTTTTGAACTTTTATGTATGCTAATTGCTTTGTCATTCAGACCTGAATAGAAAACTATTTTGTTTCCAGGAAATAGCTGCTTACTGTACAAGCAGAGTCTTCTGTGCAAGTCCTGGTGACATTGAGGTTAGTTGTATTTTCATATCTATAGTATCAGAAAAAATAATTGTGTAGAACTCAAAGCCACTTCTCTTCCTGTATCTGACTTGAAGACAGCATATTTTGATGATATTGGTCAGTTTTTGAAGTCTTTTATGCTGAGTCTTTTTTTTAATGTTAGAAAAATTAATAGCTTCTCTTTGATTGCTAGTTGCTGTTGCTGTTAACAAAACCACAGACTTGGCAAAAGTTGTTGTAATGCTATTGCTCTTCTTTGAGTGCCTTTGCTTTTAGCTGTTTTGGGGATGCTCCTCTGTGCATACGTCAGTCTGATTTCGGTGCCCAAAGGAAGGAAAGGGGGTGGAGAACAACCACTGGTTTTCTTTAAGGAAAGATAAATAAATAATAAGAGTGCTACTCATCTCTTGAAAGCAGTATATTTCCACATATCTTTCTTTGATGGCTGCTGTAAAGGTAAGAACATATTTTTCATGTGTTCTATATGACTTTGCATAGAGGGATGCATTCTTACTTACTGGAATGCTGTCTTTTAGACACCAAAGATTTCATGGAAAGTTCACAACTGAAAATTTAAAAAGCTTGTGGGTTTTTTTTTTTGTTTTTTTTTTACTTGAAGTGCTAAGATGGGATGCTATTAAAATCACAAGACATAACTTTGGTAAAACATTATCAAAGAAGTTATAAATAATTTGCATATGTGTATGTAAGGATGTGAAAATTTAAACTGTTGCAGCCAGGTAGTAAAAAATTACACTTGTAATTTTCATAACTAAGAATAAATCTATGTGATTGGTATCTACAGAGTAGAAAAATAGCCACAAATTCCAGGAGCTTTTGTGATCATTTTTACTCTGAACCTCCTTAGTCTGTGTCCTAGCTACTGATGTATTACATCCATCTTCTGAGTTAGTGGTGAAATAATCCAATTATCTCAAGTCAGTGAAAGCTGTGACTTTAGAAAATCAGTTTATTTATACTTATTTAACTGTCATTATTTTGCTAATGCTTAAGGATCTGAAAGGAGATCAATAAGACATTACATGCAAAATTGCTTTGAGAAAAAGTAGCTTGCTAAGTCAGGCATTTCTAAGGTCAGAAAAAGCTACCTTTTCCAAACTTAATCTTGTCCTTGATAGGCCTTTTGATTGATATTCAGTTATATAGCTACATACTATTATAGCCTGATATAAATTAAAAAACCTATGGTCTTCTGAGCTTGCACTGTGTGTGTGCATACCTTTCTCTCCTAAGATGTGACCACGTTGGTCATTCCATCTCCTTTATGATGGCTTTGAGACTTCACATGATAGTTTCAGAAAGCTACTGATCTACCTGCAAAGGGCCTGATGCTGGGTTATCTTAAATACATACTTTAAAATAATGCTTAAACAAAATATTTTATGTGAGCTCTGTGCTGTAAAGGGAGAAGTGTCGTGGTATTTACTAAGGAGGTTGCTGTTGCTTTTGGTTTTACAAAGAAGATGCTTTGCTTTGAGGTTAGCTGACCACATAAAACAGCTAGCTAGCTGGATGCAGTGGGTAAAGATGAAAGGAGGGTATCTGTGAAGGTTTTAAGATTGCTTTTTCCTGTCAAGGAGGATCATTACTGAAAACACCAGTTTTTATTACTGACAAAAAACTAATCTAATTCAGATGCAATGGTGTTAGAAAAGCTCTTATTCTACAGTGGTAGAGAGCTTTTCAGTCCAATCTGAACACCTCTGTGAAATGTAATCATGCCTATTGTGGGGCATAAGGATTATGTCCCATTTTGGGGGATATAATAATTTATTCTTAAGCTAGATTTTGAGTTATCTTTGAATGTGCAGGAAAAATTGACAGAACTGTGCTTAAATCTTCATAGAATCGTAGAATGGTTTGGGGTTGGAAGGGAACTTGAAGACCATCTAGTTCCAACCCCCCTGCCATGGGCAGGGACACCTTCCACTAGACCAGGTTGCTCAAAGCCTCAAACAACCTGGCCTGGAACACTGCCAGGGAGGGGGCAGCCACAGCCTCTCTAGGCCAATTGATTTGGGTGATGGTGTTTGTTGTATCACTGACATGTTGAGGTCAAATGCACTTCTGAAGAATCCTGCCCTGGTTAGGGCAGAACCCGTGTCTTCCAGGGGGCTATAGCTGCATGTAAGACAAAGTGGAAACAAGGGGAGGATCCAAGCTAGTCCCTCCCTCACACCATTTAAGTTTGTGCAAGCTTGAAGAGCTGAAACCATGATCTTTTAAAAGATTTGTATGCATCTCTAGATAAGATGCTTTATGCCCCCAATATTTTTCATACACTAAGATGTCATCTGAAATCCATTTCCAAAGCCAGGCTTAAAATATGGAAAACTTTTTGCCTTTCCGTGAAGAAGGGAGGTAGTCCTTTTTTAACGAATTTGAAGGAGATACCAAATAGCAACTATTTCTGTGCTGCAGATGTTGCTCTTAGTAGCTGTTCTACAGTGATACGTTCTTAATAGCTCTCTAAAACATTTGTATGTTTTCTTTAAGATCACTAGAGCAGTTTTATTGGATCCACCTAATAATGACTATCATGAATTTTCTAGCTTTTACTGGTGCTTCAGCAGATTTTTCTGATGATGTTGTAGATATGCTAGCCTTTGGAATCTTAGGAGTTTACAGAAAGCATAATTTATGCTGTAATGGGTGTTTTAGTGTCATGTACAGTGCAGAGGTCCCTAAATTTGTACTGACTGCTCATACAGGTTGTATTGACTTAAATTGAGTTGAAGGCTCTAAACATGCTCGTCAATCCTGAGAGGTATTCTTGAAGTAAAAGATGAAAGCAGGTGAAAAATGCAGGGGCCTTTGAAAATGACATATATTGTGTTAAAAAATTGTTCAGGCTTTTGAGGTTTCAACTGAGTAATTTCCTGTGAAATTGCAGTTGGTAAGAAAATAAAATATGATTATGCCTATCTCTGTCTCTTTTGTTTCCACAGGAAACCAATTTTTTTTTTTTTTATTTTTTTTTGGGTCTTTGTTAACACTGCGTCTGTGAAATGCTTTGTCCTTTTGGTGTCTGCTGAAGGTTTCATGTACAAGTATAAAAGAATGGAATGTATACTGTTTATAAACACAAATTATCACCTCCTGCTTTTTTGTGGGAAATTAAGTAAGCTAATTGGGACAAGCTGTATGTAAAGTAATTCCCTGCACCAACAGAAATACATTGTCGCTATATATCTGAAGTTTTGCTGTTTGTTTGGTTGTTGGGTTTTTTTAAAAAAAAAAAAACAAAAAAACCCACAACACAAAGCTTGCAGTATTTTAAAATAATGATCAATGATTAATGATCAGTACAAATAGTTGGTCAGATTCTCAGCTGAGGTCCATGAGTGAAGAATCAGTAACTGCTTTGGGAAAGCCTTACCCTTCTGTCCTAGAGCCTAACTGTATGTATTTAGTTCAGATTAAGTTTGAAACACTTAAGCAGTTTTCATATATATGTCTTTAACAATTGGTGTACCATAAGTGGAACTCTCTTACATTTCTTATGACACATGCTAGAGTAGTATTAAAACTGAGTATGGTGTGTAAGCTGAATTAGACTGAATAATGTTTTTATTTCTCTGCTGCAAAGTACATTAAAATTGTTTTCTATTTTAGCTGGAGTTTTACAAAAGTGAAGGTCACAATATATCCAAAATACAGTTGTATTTTATACTTCTCATACATTTGTTCGTTAACATCATCAGTTTGAGGACAAAATTGTAAGTGCATTGAGCTGGAAATAAACTTTATCTTAACTCTTTGTTCATGTGTATTAACAAAGGTAATAGCACTACTGGGTATTAAACTGTTTATCTAGACTTAACAGACATAGGTAATAGATAAAAGTGACTTGTAGAGGGTGTCTTTCCCTCATTCCTCTTAGGCTTGTGATGTTTTGTCTTGTCACTTTCTAATCTCATTTCACAGAAATTTTTTTTCTTAACCAGCGTGACTTTTCCAGTCTTGGGGCCTGTAGGCCTGTATTCAAAACTAACTTAAGCTTCTTTTATTGGTTGATTTATGCTGACTGTACAAAAATTTGAAGATACCTGGCTAAGTGTTGATGGAAAATATAGTGAGACCGTTTGAAGAACGGGACTGTCTTAAAACCTTTCTTGTATCTGAATTAGTGCATGAAAGGTCTGAGCATAACAAAATGTGGTCCTCACATACTATTTGCAATGTTTTGAAAAGGAGAGAAGAGATAATAACATGTATTCTTTTTTTTCCCTAGGCCCAGAAATCCCAAATCTACAACACCAAATAAAAATAAATAAAAAAACCCCAAAACCCAAAAAACAAAAAACATTCCCCCCACTCCTTTACATCATTTCTTGGTGAATTGTCCCTCCGTATGGTGACAGTTAAAGACCTCTCTGGGACCTTGCTGCAAGCTCTCATCTCTTTTGGAACCACTCACAGCAAAACAAGAAGAAAGAAAAGAACAAGAGGTTCTTTCATGTGAGAAAGACAAGACTGCTGTGACCTTGTTAACTGTTCATATTTCCTGGGTAGCAGAGACACTTAAATGATGACGTGTGAAGTCAGACACGGTTATTTTTCTTTTTAAGGGTATGACACAGTGAAACTTATCACCAATCAAGTAAGAGCACAGGCACTTAACACTCAAACCACATTATAATCTATAAAGTAGTATCCATCTACTCTGGATGTAGTAGAACCATAGGACAGGAGTCTACAAAATAAGTGAAGTTTGGGGAAAATGGCTTGTGAATTTAATCTAAACTTCCTTAAGGAATTGGAACAAGAGGCTGTTCTGGAAGTCCTGCACCGTGACCAGATGGTGAGAAAAACAGAAGAGGAAAGAATAAGGTATCTGCTGTTCCCTTATTCCTGTATTTATGTTTCTTTTTTCTCAGAAGTACTCTTCTTCCTCTTTACTGTCCTTCCATATGTATTCCTTGTTTTTTGCTTCTTGTTAGCTAGTGCCTTTTTATTCTTCGGGAAGACTAAGGGTTAGCCAGATCCTCTTGGGTTTACTGTCCTATTGACTACTCTACAGTAAAGATGAGAAAATACTGTTCAATAAATAATCTACTTGATGAATTTTACTTCTAGCCCTCATATAAAGCTCAGCTGATGCTTGTATTGCTTCTATGAAGGCTTTATGGCATTCTCATTATGTTCCTATGTATGTCTATATAGTCCTGGTAACACAGAACATGTTCAGATCTTTGACTGGCTTGTTTAACTTCTGTTGTGCCAAGACTGGAGTTAAGAATTATTGGATACCTGCTCATTGTGCTCAATCCATCACTGTCCCTTCTCACATATGACAGGTAGAAAATGCACCACACTATCTTGGAGGTTGTTACTAGTGTCAGTAAGTGTCATTGGTTAGGAAAAGGATTATGTTTCATTATTTCACACTGTGCAAGTATCTCAGTTGTGAAGGATAAGGGATAATCCTCCAGCATTTTATTTGCTTTATATCAGGGCTAGGACAAGAATTTCCTTGCAGTTTGTACCCTGTTTTGTCACATTTCATCCCCATGTAAAACAGGGTATTTGTGTTGCTAAGTTAGAATTTTTTTAGTCTCTTAAATGTAGAAACTTAAACTGTTTACAGCAAACATTTATGTTACCAGACATATTAAATGACTGTGAAAAGTAAGTAAAGGGTCATAGAGGAAGTTTGAATTGCTTAGAAAATCCTTTTCAACTGTTGATGATGTTGCTAACAATTAAAAACATAGATCTTGATTATTAGTACATTAATAGAAGGAAAGTTAAATGAAAGGGAGAGGTTTCGATATGTTGGTCTGATGTGGTTTTTATTTAACTTTCAGATGATGCATTTGGTATGATTATTTTTACTTGATAGAAGATTTGGTTCTTGGATAAATATGATAAAAAAACATAATCACATGAAAGGGAGCACCATTTAGCCTCAGTTTGTTTTTTTTTTTATGTGAATAGATAATCACTTGCATGCACCATTTTGGTGCCCTGCTCTGAGCATGCATAACTGACATGAACAGAGCCCCATTTATACGAGGCTGTTGCTCTGTATGTGCCATTGTGGTGGCACATACAGTCACGGTGTGAAGGTGCTGTGTGCAGACACCTGCAGACAGTGCTCAGTTGAGGTCAGACTCGGGGGTGTATTTCCCACTAATAATGATATTAATTCGTGACTTACGCAGGGCTTTTGGTCTATTTAATTTTTTTAATCTTCTTTTTCCTTTTTTTTAACCTGGGGGATTAGAAAACTCAAACTGCAGCTGCAGCAGCTTCGGTGGAAAGGGGCAAGAAATGTAAGCCATGAATACCAGGAGAGATCTTGCGCTCGCTGTCAGAAATCGCTTGGGTTATTGATGAACAGAGGTGCAGTATGCAATGGGTGCAGTCATCGAGTGTGCTCTGAATGCCGCGTCTGCCTGAATCCCTGCCTTTGGAAATGCACTGTTTGTTATGCTCATGGGTAAGAAATTTTAGTGGTTTGGATAAGTGCTGGTTTACACTGATTATCCAGTGGATGCACACTGTTTTTATGTATATCTGTTGCTTTAAACAGTTAATGAAACAAAGCCTCTGGCAGAAAGTAAATGTTGAATGAAGTCCTGGTAGCAATTAAATTGATGGAAATTTTGTGTCATATTTCGTGTAGACAGGATTTCTCTTTCTGTGTTTAGCAAAATGGATCCTCAGGGTAGACCAGAGGTAGTATGACAAAAATGATAACAACAAAACATAGGAACAGTTGTTAGTTTCTGAACTGTAGATAGAACTTCCTCTGACTCAATACTGAACCAGTGCATCATAACAAGTTGCTGAAGGTGCTGTGTTTTGGTGTAGTATAGCCAATGTCTTGACAATTTCCTAATCGTGATTTTTTTTTTTTTTTGCCTCATGCTACAGGAGTGAGGAACCTGGATTGATGTATAATTGGAAGTAATGTTTTATATAAATTTAAAAAGCAAAGACCATTAATAACATTATCAAGAATTGTTTAAATGTGATTGCTGAAATCCAAATTTGTTCACTTTGAATTCGTTTTTTTTTCTTCTACTGTGTCACCTTGATTTTGTTTTCTAGGAAACAATCTTTCTTTCACTCTATTGATACAATTTTTATATCAAAATACTCCATCATAGTCTATTCTATTCATCATAATATTTCTAAACCAAATAGTTTAGCTCTATTTCCATCTTTGATGAAAAATTATATTATGTAGGCAAAGTAAGATAGTTTTGGAAATTAATGAACAGCTGTGCTGAATGATATATATCCCTGTATAAAGGGTGAAAATTTGGATGAAATTTTGCTTTATGCCAACACAAGATTAATACACTACTTCACTCCCTCTTAAGATGCCAAAAAGAGATTTGAATAATGCCTACGAAATGTATGGCATGGTATTGGTCTTAAACTAAATGAATTACTACTACTAGTCTAAAGTAATCTTCTATAGTTTGGAAGAGACTATAAACTATCACTAAAAGCTGTTCTCTGAATCCTCAGTTTATTTTGCAATTTATACATAAATTAAGCAGATTAGATCCATCTGTATTTGATACAAAGCACTTGCTAGATTTTGGTGCATATATTTCACTATCTGTGCTTCATGCCATGCTCACTAAAAGGAAAGATTAAAAAGTTATCTTTCCATATCCTCCTCTAGATACCTCCTTCCACTTCCACTTCTAAATTAGTTACCAGTTATTTGGTAGCCACAGTGGAAATCCCCTGTACAAAGTAGCTAGTTGTTAAACTGCCTTGTATGGTGCTGTGCACCATTAATTATTTCATAGGCTTGCCCAGATATTTAATGGTAAAACCACAAAAGTATGATTTAAATAAATTAAAAGACATTTTTACTTTTCCTTGAGGACTTTTTTTGTCTTGCTAATATAGAAGAGTTCTTCAGCTGTCATTGAAATTCTTCTTATAGCAAAGAGACAGAACACTTGATCTTATTTAGTTGCGATGTAAAGTCCATTAAAATCGGTCATACTTCTGTTGTCTTCAGTGAGCTTTGCATCAAGGCTTCAGATCTCAAGGACAGGGAGTACAGCAGTGAAGTAAAAGTTCCTCATCTCCTTTTGTTTACCCTGGTGAGGAAAAAATAGGATGACTAAGAAATGTAAGAGCTGATTTTCAAGTCCTGAAAACGATACTTTTGAGTCTTGGTTGCCACTAGAGTGTTTTTTCCTGAACAAAACATTATCATCAGCAGCACTACCGAGATTCTCTCCTAGACACTAGGGTCATGTTTGTTATGAGCATGCAGGGATAGGTGAATGTTTATTGTTTACAAAATTAGAAATGTAAGTAGTCTTTGGACTGACAAAGTTTGTGTCTTTCACCTGGAAGAGGCATCTCTTATGTGAATGGAAATGGTATAGTGTGTTGGGGTTTTTTTTGGTTGGTTTGTTTGGTGGTTGTTTGGTTGCTTTTTCTGGTGGTTGTTTGGGTTTGGTTTTGTTTTTTTTAAAGGAAATCTGTCTTATAGGAGTCTAGGCAGACATTTGCTTTGAAGGAGTTAAGTCTGTTTCACTTGATAAAGGTAGTTCTTTATCAGCTTTGTTGTCACGCTTTTGGTCATAGCATAATTTAATATACTCTTCAGCCTAAAAAAAAAAAAAAAAAAAGTGGAGGGTATTTCCAGATCTGTTTTCATCCTATGAGTGGTCTAATTATCACATGAGTCTGTGCAGAACTGGAGATTAAACTCTGGGAAGATAACCATGGGTAGTGGAAAGAACATAAAAGGAAGGCTGGAGATGAGAATCGAGGCACTATGCAGAGCCCTTGAAGATCTAGTGCAGCCAGAGGTTTTAGACATTAGCTAATAGATCTCCATCCAAAGTAAGTATTATGTCTCGAAGTTATTTTAACTTAGTTTTCAAGCTCATCTGTGTTCAGTTATGCACAAGGATCTATGGTTAGGCATGGAAACAAATAGCACAATCTGCACAGTGAATTTTTTTAATATTCTTCATTTCTACTTACAAAGGTATATTTTAAATGCCTAAAATGCCTTAATTTCAAGCCACAGAAAGAACAAACAGCATCCTACCTAGAGTTTGTCTATTTTAACATAGAGTAAGGTGAGGTGTGAAATGGCAGACCCAGGGATTTTGTTGCCTGACCTTTGGTGGGCATCACTATAGCTCTCGTGATTAGAGATTTTGCTTTCTTAAGAAGGCAAGCCCTACAGGAATTTACTGCCGTATATATTGATGCCAATTTCAACCAAATTTGTCAGAGGCAATTGTAATAAAGAGATTGATTTCGCAGAAGGAAAATTAACTAATCAGTAGAGAAGAAAGCTTAGTGGCACCTGCACTGAGGAACTTTTTGCAGTGGGACTTCATCCTATAATAAGCATCAGAAAATCCACAAGGAACAGAGATAATATAAATGCCACAAATATTAGTAAGACATTTTGACGAGAATTTGGAACCTGAGGACTCCAGAGAGTCTTCTCCTCAGTTAAAATTAATTTTGTCTCTTTAATAATGTATGAGTTCAGATTGCAGACTTCATTTAAGCCAGTTGGAGACAACAAAATGCAAATTTGCTGCAAATCTGCTCTTGGCAGAGCTATTTAGTCTGATATCATTTTCACAGAATTACAGAATCACAGAATCATCTAGGTTAGAAAAGACCTTGAAGATCGTCTACTCCAGCCATTAACCTAACACTGACAGTTCCCAGCTACACCAGATCCCTCAGTGATATGTCAACCTGACTCTTAAACACCCCCAGGGATGGTGACTCCACCACCTCCCTGGGCAGCCCATTCCAACGCCTAACAACCCCTTCTGGAAAGAAATGCTTCCTAATATCCAGTCTAAACCTTCCCTGGTGCAACTTGAGGCCATTACCTCTTGTCCTGTCGCTTATTACTTGGTTAAAGAGACTCATCCCCAGCTCTCTGCAACCTCCTTTCAGGGAGCTGTAGAGGGCGATGAGGTCTCCCCTCAGCCTCCTCTTCTCCAGACTAAACCCCCCCAGTTCCCTCAGCCGCTCCTCGTACGACCTGTGCTCCAGACCCTGCACCAGCTTCGTTGCCCTTCTCTGGACACACTCGAGTCATTCAATGTCCTTTTTGTAGTGAGGGGCCCAAAACTGAACACAGGAATCGAGGTGCGGCCTCACCAGTGCCGAGTCCAGGGGTCAGATCCCTTCCCTGTCCCTGCTGGCCACGCTATTGCTGACACAAGCCAGGATGCCATTGGCCTTCTTGGCTACCTGGGCACACTGCTGGCTCCTGTTCAGCCAGCTGTCAGTCAGCACTCCCAGATCCCTCTCTGACTGGCAGCTCTCCAGCCACTCCTCCCCAAGCCTGTAGCACTGCTGGGGGTTATTGTGGTCCAAAGGCAGCCCCCGGCATTTGCCCTTATTGAAACTCCTCAAGTTGGCCTCAGCCCATTGCTCCAGCCTGTCCAGGTCTCTGTAGAGCCTCCCTACCCTCGAGCATTTGTTAATCGTTACTTTTCTCATCCTGTCATCCTGGTGCCTGTGTATGACATGGACATCATTGATGTTAGCTTCCACAAAATAGAGAGAGATGGGCCATGAAGCCATCACACCATCAGGGTTGTGGAGTTCAGTCCTCCCTGGTACCCATCCCAGGTTCTGCCTGGGAGCATGTCCTCTATCATTATCTTTCCTGCTCCTCAGACTGGGCTGCAGCTGTACACTGTGGAGGCAGCAGAAGTGCCTGGGGCTATTATACAAGTTGGTTGTATAGACTGGGGTAGACCCAGGACTTCTGGCTTCAGAGCAGTATGTATTGCTTTCCATGGACAGTCCAACATAGCATAAAGGAGAAAAAAACCCGCAATAATGGAGGGATTTGCAGACCCACAGCGAAATCAGTCAATGGAGTGACCAGTCATGAAATCCTAGTTTTATGATAGGATTAAGAAAGATTGTTGAATGATTACCAAACATTTGAAGAAATGCACTTTGGAAAATGTTGATTCAAATGTGGTTTGCTTGCTTTTCAGAGATGTGAAAGTAAAGGCTGGTGAATGGTTCTTTGAGGAACGAGCAAAGAAATATCCAGATGAAGGTAATCACTGGAGCAGATCATAAAATGCTGTGTAATGTGTAGTCTTCATCTAAGTGAAACACAGAATGTGGTCTGCCACTGTATTTAATATTTCTTCCACTTGGTAAGAGATTTGTCAGAAATTATCATGCAGTGCCTCTGTCTATGCACTAAATAAAACATGAACACAAAGTAGCAGAATTCATTAAAAAGTATAATTTATTTTGTATGAGTAATACAAACAAAAAAATTGCTGGACATGCCAGTTTGAATTAATGGTCTTGTAAGGCTTCTAAGAAATGACATGAAATAAATATAGAAATGTTAAAATATATGTTCAGGAAGGAAATGATCTTGCATCCATTGTTTGTCAAAGTTAAAACTTCAATTGTTTTCACTGAGAAAGTTCTAAAGCTTAAAGAAATGACAGAATGTAATAAAACCCCCCCACAGGCATAGCTATAAATCAGCAGAGAGCTAAACACTTACCGTTTCTTCTAGCCAGCTAGGCCATTGCCTTGTGTCCAGTCTTTTAATTGCAGTTAAAAATACAAAGCTCTAAAAGAAATTATAGAGGATGTGGATGGATTGCCTTATGGGGAATGTGTTAGGCTGTTAGCCTTCGTTTTCACCTGCAATGACTAATGAGGTGGAGAGGATTTCCTTCCTTTTTCCCTTGAAGTGCCTCTTCAGATGGGCAACCATTTCACAGTGACTGACTGTAGCTAAATGTTAGTTTCACGTCTAGTATCTGCATGGTATCTACATTTAAGAATAGATGGTAAAAAGGAAAGCACTAGACTTAAATATCTCTTGGGAAACTTGAATAGGAAGAAATTTATAAATGGATGAATGTAATCAGGCAAATTTTGGGTAGTATGTATTCACAAAAGACAGCAGGTAGCATATTAAGAAACTAAGCTACAGTTCCTGCTAAAACAATTAATTTAAAACTTGAAAGATTTCACTGAATTCCATTATAGCTAACGCATTGAATTTTAAAGTATTAGTTGACTGTTCTTTAAAGCATGGATGTATCCCATAACCATTGTTAATAGTTTTACCTCCTATTCAGTGAGTCTAAAGCCAGTAATTTTAACAATCTCTCTTAGTTACTGGAAAATGCTATGTTGCTCTCAGACACTGAATCTGATATTGCAAGGTACTGACTGTCCCTCTTTCCAGTAAAATAAAAGTTCTCACCTTGTGTTATCAAAGCTCTGTGGATGCTTGAAACATTTTGCCTAGGTAGTCTAAGCGTAATACTGTTGAAGTCACAAAGATATGAGGATATACAGAAGATAAGCCTACAGGGAGAAATATGGTGTTTTTTAGTTCTTTTGATTAGACTGATACAGTTAAAGGGTTTAAAAAATGGCAAACTTTGAAACATGACAGCGGTAGTAGTTATGTAACCTTCAAGTCTGGAGAGACAGTGCCCTCTTTTGGTTTGAAGGTATAACACAGGTGAAGTACTCGCTGGAAAATAAGTTTATCTGGAAAGAATATATGTTACAGTGGCAGAGTGAAAAATAAAAGTTGCATCAGTATGCTTTTTATTAATTTTGTGTAGCTTCTACCGAAGGAACAAAAATAATATTTTCATAAAAGTGGTAGATTGCCTTTACTGACCAATAAATTAAAGATCTAAGAAATCATTTAATGCTGCAAAAAATCAAGGTAGTGAATATTACTTATTAATAACAGAGTATCAGTTCTGGAGTTCTGATTGAATTTTGTAACACCAAAATTGATTGTAAACTGATCAATTGTAAATTGATTGTTGTTTCTACCACCACCAAGGTCTACTACTTTTATGTAAGTAATATGTTATAATTAATGACATCTTCAGCAAAGTACAGACCACATGCTGCTTTCTGTATTAGGAATGATTAGCGATTAAAGCCACTCCAGATATTTTCAGTTGGCCATTTGTTACATACATTTAGCCCTTATTTCTTTTGCGATCACTGAGGAGCAAACGATGTTTTTATAAGTCTTCATTGTTTGTGCCCAATGGAGCGCTTGCTCCTTGGTGTTCTTTACATCATGTGGCTGCTCACCTGAGGAGCATGACATGGTTGCTATTTCCCCGCAGGGCTGACCTTAGCCTCACGTTTGTGTTTTCATTATTGTTCGGGTCCCTAGTAGGAAAAGTGAAAAGAATTTTTCATAAGATGCAAGAGGTGACCATGTGCCTACTCTTGTACACATTTTCAAGCTTTCCATAGTGTTTATGGTTGAAGTGTGCTTTAGTGCAGTGGGCCTGTGCGCTCCATGTCACCTGGACCTCAGGAGGCCGAGAGCACTTCACAACTTGTAGGAATGGGCCTGTTAGTATCTGTGCATGATTGTCCTCTGCATTTGTGAAGAGCTGGTCTGAACGTGTCACCTGTGACCGTCTGTGATACAGGAGAAGCTTGTGTTGCTTGGCATGTATGCTGATATGTCAGGTGGGGGTTGATTTCACTCTCGACTTGCATATGTATGAACTTCTGTAAATACAGGCCAGTTCCTGAAAGGCATTGATTTTAAAAAGTATTGTACAAGCATTAGTAACTGCTGTTGTTGCTAAATGACCTTTGGGTGTTCTGATATTTTTCTCCCTTTCACAGGCAGACATGAAACAGTTGGTGCAAAGCTCTTGAAATCTTATCAGAAACTGAGGTAAGATTCATAAAAGGACAAATGGTCCTAGGAGACGGATTTCTGTAGGTGATATATTGTGTGTTATAAACCAGCCAGCAGTTTGTAATTTTTTTATTATGAAAACCAAATTTCAATAGTTTTGGAGTACAAATGATAAAAGCATAGAAAAGTTGTCACTTTTATCTGTCAGCAATCCACAGAAATAGTCCCAAGTACAAAAGAAAGTACTATGTTTAGAGTAATAGTGTCTTATGTACTTGAAGGGACGCGAATTATTTTTGTCATATCTGCTTGTATTTTTTGCATGACTTTACACGATTATCTTTCAAATTTACATACTACTTTTAAATGATCAGAGATGAAAATCATTTACTAGGTATAACAGCAGCAACATCATTATTTGCTCAATGGGAGATATTGCTGATTTGATAGGTTTAGAATAATAGTAGACAAAAAGCTCTGTATTCAGTAAGACATGTCCACTTACCAAACTTAAAACAAGTAAAGAATCTAGTTTATGCTGAATAAATACTTTGACTAGAGGCCTAAGCATGACCATACTTAAGTTATAACCAGTGTTAAAAATGAAATAACAGCCTACTTAAACTATATTGTGTAAAAGAAACAAGAGGTGCCCTCAATTTTATGATAATTATCTGACAGGGCATAACTGCAGAAGACAGAAACTTAGTCAGCTAGATATAATCTGAACCAGGGCTGTGTAAGGACTTGCTTTTACCTCGATGTGGAAAAGTAAAAGAATCAAAAAGGAAGTTCAGTGGCTGCCTTTAGGATCTGTGACTGTGCTGTGCTAACAGAATCAGTTAGAAAACAGGTGGTTTGTTTGTTTGTTTGTTTTTTTTTCTACAGACAGGCTATTTACAACAGGTGAAATGGCTGGAATGCTGTAAAGGGTCACTAACATCCCTGGGCCCAGGCAAGGAAGGATCCTTTTAGTATTGTAAATAAAGGTGGCTGTTTTCTGAAAAGAACTTTGAAACAGCGATGGGATGTATTACACAGGAATTGTTTTTTAAATCTTGGAACACAGATTGTAATACAGCCAACCATATGGAAGTCTAGGAAGTCTGTCCTGAATTAGGTCTTCCTGATTGTTTTAAATTAATAATTCTGCCTACAGCAGCTCAAGACTGAGAAGATAGAAAAGTAGTCCTAATTCTTACAAACAGGCAATAAGCCTGTGCTGCAGCTCTTGAAGACACAGGACCTTACCCAGATCTTTAGACTGCAGGAAAGACAGATAATAAAGATACTGTCCATGAATGTGGCTTATTTATCCATCTGTTAGCATAATATATTAATTGTTGTGCTGGTTTTTGTCTCTTAAATTTCTAGTAAAATTTCCGTCGTACCTCCAACTCCACCTCCTTTCACAGAATCCACAGCAGGAAGCAACGTGACGGTAAATGTACATATCTGAAAAATATACGTATACCTGCACTTCTTAGTTTGTCATTCATATGAAAAGGCCAGCTATAGAAGTGCAGTAAATAGCAACTACTGTAACTTCATATTGCAATATAAATGCTGCCTTATGTTGCTTTGTCTTTTTTTTTTTTTTTTTTTTTTTTAATGCTGCATTGATAATAGGAAAGAAAGGTTGGAAGCTATCAAGTAGGGTGTTTTAAGTTAATTATTAGGTTTTGAGAGAAGTAATTCATCACTTTACTTGGCACTAGAATACTGCATCTGGTTTTTGGTGCCTCACTACAGGAAGGGTGGACTGAAATCTCCTGAGCCCCTTTCCACTCTGAAGGATCCCATGATCCTGTGATATTCTGTAGTCATTTATAAAGCGATCGTTCTATGTGTTACTTTCATTACTGACAGCGAATTTGATGGTTGCATTTGCATTACAGTTTCTAGTGGTCAGAATTGTAGGACATGGCTCAGAACTCATCAAAATTGTACTACATTACTATTTCAGTTCATTTTGGACTGGGTCCTCAGCCCCTGGTTTTGAAGCCCATTGCAATGCTGTAAGCATTCTAATACGTGCTTACCTGGAATTTGATGAAAACTCTTTGATTCAGAGTCACAGGAGCATCTGTAATAGATAGGACTTTCCTTCTTGAAGTATTCAAAACATTACACCAAATCAGTGATATAATTAGTTGTATTTATGAAAGTGCTATGTGATCTTCCTACAAAAAGTTCCACTTATATATCAAAGACTACAGAAATGAAAAGATTGTTTTCCATCTTCATACATTAGTGTGACTGTTTCAACCATGTCATCTTAAGTCCTCAGTTGTATTTGTCTACAGAAGTGAACAAAGGGCTGCAGCCTTACCATCTGATTGTTATATGGTCTGTAGATACATGGTCCTGGAAACTTTGAAACAGCAAATATTTTGTGTTTTCTTACTCTTGGCATCTCTCATTTGCAGGAACTTGGACAGTCTAAAAGTTTTAATAAATCTGTGGAAAACTTGTTTTTGTCTCTCACAACACATATAAAAAGTAAGTAGCTTTCACTGCTTTGTCATTCTAGTAACATAGTCAAATGTTTCAATGTTTTGGCCAAATTGTTGGCCAAAAAATACTTATAAAAAAAGGGTATTGAGTAATGGCTGAAATTACTAACGCAAAGACTGAGCCAACCTGAAAAATACAGTAAGTCTAGTTCTCCTTCAGTATAATGCTAGTTGTTTAACAAGCTGATGGTACCAATCCAGAATGCCTTTCATGTAAAGATGTGAAGACTTTGTAATGTTACTTTTAAGTTGAACAGCTGTTCCCATGCAGTATAGTATATTTAACTCACGTTAGGACAGCATAATAACCATTTTCTACTATAGTGATCTTCGTGTTATCTGAGTACAACCCCAACTGACCCTGTTGAAGAATCTGTCATGTAATGGAAGTAGAGTTTAATATTTCCATTCACTGACAGTTTTCAAGATTACTTTTTTCCTGTTTCTCAGTCTGTCTAGAGATGTGTTTTTTTCCAGTGCATACTTTTTAAGAGCCAGCCAGTCCTAACAACTTTTCTTTCATTCTGATCTTTTTGTTTCCTTCCATTCACTTACGTTGCCTGCTGTTCTTTAAGGTGCAGAGTGTGTATGCACCTCCAAGGCTAAATACACTGAGGACAGCCAGCATTTGTGAAGAGCAAATTAAAGGCATCAGTTACCAGAGGAAAACAACTTCTGAGCCTTCTGAAGATTACAGGGGCTTGCAGATTTACATGTGTTTGAATGAATCTTTGTGTTTTCTTACTAGCTTCACTTGGAAAACTCCAAATGTGGGATTAGACCTAAATAAATTTGGCTTTAGTGTCTTTCTGGTTTTCACCCTAACTCTTGTCTTAGCTCTCGTTTGGTCTTTCCTCTTAACTTCTTCCACACATCCTAAAGGACCATTCTCCTTTAACTACACAAATTTAATGTTGTGTATGTGTGAACACATATTAAAACTATGCAGAAAACAATGATTATCTCTCCTTAACAGAAGTGTAGTATAGGGTGGTGTGGGATACTTCATTATTGGAAGCAACTAACTGAGGCAGCACAGAATTGGATAGAAAGTAATTTATTCTGCTTTCTGTTGTTTTGAAGCCTGATCATTTCCCAGTTACTGGCAAAGACTCTCAGGACTGCAGCAAGCTGATTTAATAGCTCACTGCTACCAAAAGGAAGGTCCTACTCCCCCCACATTTGTCTTCTCTCTCTGTTTCTGTCCTTATGCTGCCATTGCTTAATTTGAATTAGCACCAGTGTTTCTGGACCCTTCTGGAAACGGATTTAGCTAATTAAAAGAGCAGAACATTAACCCAGACAAAGCACGTAGGTACTTTTTCTGCTGGTTTAGTGAATTAAATAGGCTCAGGGTAGGGTGTGTATGTTGGAGCCAGCACAACAGAGCATGCTCGGCCTTGTGGCCAAGAGCCAGAGAGTGAGGAGGCAAGAGCAGTGGTTGCAGAGGATGACAGCAAATTATTAGCTCAGTTCAGCTGTATGTGAAACCCCACTCAGGTGCTATCATCCTCGGTAAGGGTAGAACCTTTTAATTTGTGAGAAAATAACAGGCTGTTGCAATCACTGAAGTCAATAATTAAAAAGTACAGGGAGTCTTATAAGGAGAAAGACTTGGGTTTCTTGATTTAAGGAAACAGCTCTTTCAGACAATATGGCCTCCTAGTGAAACCTGGTACTGTGTTGATAAATGCTTTCAGTCATGAGTGTCTAAAATTAGTACCCTTATCTAGATAAAAATGTCCTGGTTTGCAGAAGTATTTAATACACCCAGCTCTTGTGTGTAGCAGTAAATAAACCTGGAGAACCTTGTTATGCCTCTGATTCTATCACTGAAGCCAGCGTGTGTGCGTGTCTGAGAGCAGTGGGAACAAAGGATTTGAGCGTGCAGCACAATGCTGCCGTTGTACAGTCTGCTCTTCATGCTGTTACCTCCTGTTCCACCGTGGTTTGGCAGCAACAGATTATAATCCAATTGTTGCCATTTGGTGAATGTAAAATGAGTTGCTGGTTGTAGTTCTATTTGCAGTGCAAAATCGCCCTTGGCACTAGAGATAGTGTCTGTCTCATTGACTGTTTGGGTAGAGAAGTCAAAGGAGGTAGAGATATGAAAACTGAACAATCATTTTTTTCTCACTGTAACCTGTTTGTTTTAGGAGAGTGTGAGGCAAGCTTGTTTTTCTGCTTCTGCTGGTCAATCTACTCCATTAGATCTCTTATTCCAGCCTCTTTTATTATCTCTGATTTCACTGTGTATTTTAAAAACCTGGTTTCACTTACAGTCAGAGATGACTTAATTGAGCCTGCCTATGAATGTGTCACATGATGCCTTAATGGTGTACACAGAGTACAGTAAACATCTGAGGACTGATTGCTGCTAAGAACAAAACAACCCAAAGTGGCTTCAAAAATCATACTTAAGAGTACTATTGTTTTCGAATACAATAATGACGTATTGTCTGCTGTCTGAGGTTCCTCCAGAGAGGCTCATGTTATGAGAAATATTTATTTCTTCTGTATGAATTAAACATATGATAGCTATTTCATGTACCACTTATAAGTTATTAATTCTTCATGAGAGATTATCTGGGATTTACAACAAAGTGTCTGCTGCTGAGCCTGATAGTTTTCAACTTCAGATATCACAGATGAGTGCTGCCCTTCTCTTTAAGTGAAGTTCTGACTGTACCCTGAGGAATAAGAAGCAAAAAGTGGTGCACTAAATGTCCGATTGTCCTACAGATTTATTTGACAATAAAGCAGATGCTACTGAAGTGCTAGTTCCATGAAGTACTTAAGTATGGACATAAGCTTATCCATATGAATAATGTTATTGAAGACAATGAGGTCTACTCATATTCTTAAAATTATATGTGGTTTGGGATGACATATCCAAAATATCTATATTTTGGATAAGTTTCAAAAAGTTTTCCAATATGCTCTGCTTTTTAATTTCTGTTGTCATGTTGCTTTATGTTGTTATAATGATCTTACTTTTATCCTGAACCAAACTGCTTTACAAATCAAGCTATAGGTAGGGACAGTAGTAGCTACTTCTGCAAGGACACCGCATTTGATAGCATACAATTCCTGGCAGCAGCTATAATGATAGAAAGGAAGTAGTATAATTTCCAGTTGAAACAGCAGGAAATATTTAGGTATACAAAATACAATTATACAAAATAGGACAAGCACTTGCTTTCTCCTCTGTTTCTTATTCTTAGGAGATCAGTACTAAAGTTAGAATCACAGAATGGTTTGGGTTGGAAAGGACCTTGAAGACTATCTAGTTCCAAACCCCCCTGCCATGGGCAGGGACACCTCCCACTAGCCCAGGTTGCTCAAAGCCCCGAACAACCTGGCCTGGAACACTGCCAGGGAGGGGGCAGCCACAGCCTCTCTGGGGCAACCTGTTCCAGTGTCTCACCACTCTCACAGTGAAGAATTTCTTCCTTACATCTAATCTAAATCTACCCTCTTTCAGTTTAAAACCCTTACCCCTCATCCTCTTGCTATACTCGTTGGTGAAGAGTCCCTCCCCACCTTTTCTGTAGCCCCCTTTAAGTGCTGGAAGGCTGCTGTAAGGTCTCCCTGGAGCCTTCTCTTGTCCAGCTGAACAACCCCATTTCTCTTCGCCTGTCTTCACATAGGAGGTGCTTCAGCCCTCTGATCATCTTTGTGGCCTCCTCTGGACCTGCTTGAGCAGGTCCATGACCTTCTTGTGCTGGGGGCCCCTGAGCTAAACACAGCACTGCAGGTGGGGTGTCCTGAGAGAGGAGCAGAGGGAGACAATCACCTGCCTCAAACTCCTGGCCACACTCTCTTGATGTAGTCCAGGATATGGTTGGTTTTCTGGGCTGCAAGTGCACATTGTTGGCTCATAGTCAGTTTTTCATCTGCTACTCCTCCCAAGTCCTTCTATGCAGGGCTGCTCTCAATCCACTCATCACCCAGCCTGTATCTGTGCTTGGGATTGCCCTGACCCACATGCAGGACCTTGCACTTGGCCTTGTTGAACTTCATGAGGTTTGCATGGTCCCACCTCTCAAGCCTGTCCAGGTCCCTCTGGATGTCACATCCCTTCCCTCCAGTGTGTTGACCACAGCACACAGCTTGGTATCATTGGCAAACCTGCTGAGGGTGCACTCAATCCCACTGCCCATGTCACCAACAAAGATGGTAAACAGTGCTGGTCCCCATACTGACCCTTGAAGGACACCACTCGTCACTGCTCTCCACTCAGATATCAAGCTGTTGTCTGCAACAATTTGAGTGTGACTGTCCAGCCACTTCCTTATCCACCAAGTGGTCCATCCATCAAATCCAAGTCCCTCCAGTTTAGAGATGAGGATGTCATGGGGGACAGTGTCAAATGCTTTGCACAATTCTGGGTAGATAACGTCAGTTAAAAATGCAGGATGAAAGTTTGCGAGCTACAGAATTAGCCTATAAATCTACAAGATTGCTTGCAGTGTTTGTTACAGTGACTTCTCTCTTTATTTTCACTTCAGAAATCTCTATGTCCCAGAATGATATGGCTGACAGACGTCTCCTAACCACAGATTATGGGCAGAACGTGGAAAGAAGGAAGCAAAGAAGGAGCCAGTCTGATACAGCCATCAACATTACAAGCAGGGTATTCATATTATTATACACAGTGTCTAATTGTAAGGGCTGTTTCAGGAATGAAATATATTTGTAGGAGTGACTTACACAGTGGAATTGACTTTTATTATACAAGCAGGGATTATCTGATGTTCATTCACCATGGCCATGTTCTCTGACTCTTCACCAGGTTTTTGTCTGAGTCTGCACACTTGATCTCAGCCTAGAGCTGAAATGTTAGACTGAGATTTTACAAAGATCCTCACATGGGGAGGGAGACGATGGGTCATTTTACTCTCAGGTTGTCACAGACTCTCTTGAGGGTGATTGATGTCTGCTCTGTGTGATTGTTGGGCTGCAGGGAAGTGCTCTGTCTTTGTCCTCCTCTTGCCCCTCTTGCTGCTGAACAGGACCAAGCTGTGATCATCCAAATCCTATCCTGACACTTTCTGAGCACTTTTTAATTTGGAAAGGAGAAAACATTGACTGCTGTTAGTTGTTGGGCAACTTCCCTTTCCTTTTGCTTTGGTTACAGTCTCTAGCTTTCAGTGTTTTCTTGAGAAGTTTGAGAAACGTCCAGCCATCTGTTTTTCCACAAATTGTGTAGGGTTGAAGATTATGTCACATATTTGTTTTATAGTTACACTGAAGATTCTGTTTTGTACACTTTCACTTCTCAAGTGACTGAACTTTTCCATACTCAGTTTTCCACATAGTGGGTACTTACTGAATCACTTGTTCATCTGAATGAAGTAAATGTGGTCTGCTAAGTGCCTGAAGTAGATGCTGAGAACAGCTTTTGCTTTGGGCCAGACCTCATGGCAAGTATTACTCACAGCTCCCTTGCTGCACACTTTTCACTTTCCTCTGAAGTGTTAGGTGTTGATAAATGGGAGAGTCAGCATGTCAGACCGCATGGTCTAGTGGTTTGGGTTGGCTCAGCAAGGTCTGTGTACCCTGTGAAATTGGTGTTGGTGGTTTTGTATGCAATTATATTATAAACAAAATTGGCAATAATTATTACCTACCCAAATGCTGCTTTCATTGTGGCAAACCACACTTCAGCATTACTCTATTCCACTGGCAGAGCACTGCTCTTTTAGTGCATCAAGAAATGTTGGAGTTGGAGATAATATGAACTTAAACTATGCTCCATTGCATGCTGATCTCACACAGTCTGTCATGTTTAGAAGAGAGATACGGATTATTTGGCTTGAGAAGTGTATTAGTAGGGGATTCTGAATTATTTGTGTGGGTTTTTAATTGCTTGTTTAAAGATTTAGGACTTAAAATTTATGTCCACCCTTTGCATTACAGATTTTGAAAGATAGATTTCAGTGTTGCTAGAATTACTGTTGATCTTTTTTTTTGTGTGTGTGTGAACTTCATCTTTGCCATTTAGGTTTTTTAATATTGAAGGAAATTTTACTTGTCTGTCCTTGCACTTATATGATAGCTTTTTATATCTTTACTGTGATTTTAAAAATTATTTTAAATCTCTGTCAATGGCACTATTGAATTAGTCTTTCATTAATTTTTTTCTTCTCCATCTTTGTTTTCCTTTAATAAAGGTACCTGTTTACATCCTTACTAGAGCTACGACTTAAGTTTAGGGACAGAGCCTGTAGCAAAACAACTAATTACTCAAATTTATAACAAAATATGATGTAAAAATCTTACTTGCTGTGATTTCCACCCCAGAAAGAACTTTCATTTTTGGAGAATGAATGAAACCATTATTTTTTTCCCCTCGAAAGTTGCATTTTTCTCTGAGGAATGACTGGGAAGTAATAGCTGTAACTCTGCCATTTTGAATGTGCAGGGTATAAGACTGGGGTGCCACTTCAGACTCAAGACCACTATCTGTTTCTTAAGTAGTTTTCCAAATTTGTGATATGTTCAGAGCTGATTGCTTCAGACTAAAGTTGAAAGAGATTATATTTAACTTCAGTAATAGGGAAAAAACAATCTATTGGCAAGAACTACCATCCAGTGTAAAATCTGGATTTAGGAAGTTGATTGAATAGTGTTTTCTAGTGCCTCTCACCACCAGAACCTGTAAGTAAGTTCATTAAAGGAATTTCGGTTAGATCTGCCTCACTGGGGGAACATGCAGACTTGTGCAAGCTGTGGAAGCTGTTTGTGCTGCGTGGGTAGCTGTGGGTTACCCCTCCTGTGACAGCGGATGCACGCTGCTGCAGACGTTGGCACTGGGCTAGGTGGGAGCCTTGCTTATGTGACCTGATGCTAAGTTTGGCACTGGTAGTTATGTTGCCTTGTCAATCTCTTCTGTTTAACACAACAGAGAAGTCTTCTGATCCAAGTAGAAGCTAAAATTCCGTGTGTTGTAGGTTGTTTTGGTTAGCAAGGAGAACTGGTGGTGTTGCAGGTTTTTATAAAGCAGAAGACAATTTCTCTGCTGAGAAATATGCTTTGGTTGGGGGAGGGGGTTGAGGCTATCTTCTGAAGGCATTTTCTGTCTCCTCACAAGAGAACTTAATGAATTCTTGCATCTATTCTTAAGGTAGGACAGTTATTACACATAACAATTTCTGTGTGTTCTAATAACAACATACTAGTTTGGATTTTGCACATCCTGTTTCTCTCAGAAGTAATCTCCTCTGTTGTCCTCATTCTTTCGTGCTTTCTACTGATTGTGCAGGAGGGGTTCACAGGTTTGTTGAATATATATTGTCTGTTTCTTTAGTGCAAATAAGTCATGATCCTTTTTGTTGATTCAGTCACACTATATTCTTTCTGGTCTTTCAAGTAATCCCTGTTATACAATTTTTTTAAAAAATAATTATTTTCTTAGATCCTCATCATGTAAAATTTCTTACCTCACTCTTTTCCTCCCTCTTGAACTGTGAACATACTTTTCATAGATTGTATTATCCAGGGGTAGTGGTGTGCCAGAATGAGCTGAAATCTATTTTCAGCATATTTCTAACCATATGTATTAATCTTTTGGAAGTTACTTAATTCTATTAAATGTTGTTATTGGTAAACAGAGGTGGCTGAAGGTAAATCTCAAGGAGTTTTGTTACTATATATCTCGATTTTCCACAAATGATCAGGGTTTTCATGGGAAGATTGGAAAGGTCAATGGACTTGGTCAAAGCAAAGTCAAGAACACCTTAGAAATTTTAACTTTTTCTGTAATCAAAGCTAAATAAGAAATTGTGAATCTGTTTCTATTTTCAAGTCTATTTCAACTTACGTTAATTCTTGCATAGGTAGACGTGGGCATGTGTCATGCATATTGCAAAATACTATTTTTTAATTTCCTGGAGGGAATTTTTTTTTTCTTCCAAAATTACTGTTTTGTTAAAGGCTAATAAGGCCTTTTATTAGTATATTGCTACTTTTGATGTGTTATTTGTAAACTGTTGTTAGTAATTGCTGTGGTATTGATCCTTAGATTAGGTGGTAGTATGTTGATTTTAGAAAATTATGAACATAATGAAAGTACTACTAGCTGGGATGAGAAAGATGTAAATCGACATTTAAATTAAGTTACTATATTGTCTTTGAAAGTGTGACACCTGTGTGACACTTATCAGAATGAATTGTAACTATTTACCAAATTTTCTTCTGATAACATTCCTGAAAGAATCAGGGCATTTTTCTTAAATTAAACAAAAATTGCTGAATTTCTTACAGATGAAAAGTATACCCAGTCTTCAACAGCTCATCACTGGGGCCCAAAATGACAGTGAAATTCTGACTAAAAGAAATTATAAGGAGGAAGAAGATGACATAACAACCAGTCCCACAAGTGATGCTGTTTTCTGTGATGGCAGAAAATATGTAAGTTAAAGGGTGAAGCACAACAGAACAGGTGCTTAGTGGCACCAGATATAAAAGCTAAGATCTTAGGCAAAATGTTGGTGTATTTTGGATTATATTGCAAAAGGAAGGAAGAATTTTACTTGAGTTTATATCTGTTGGAAGACTGACTGCCTTTGGTGGCATAGTAACACTGAACTTTTTGCAGCATAAGCCCAATCATATTAATAATGGGTAATTGATAGATGGGCATATCGATTAATAATGAATAATTGATAGATCAACTTCCTCTGAATTTTATAAATGCAACTAACATTCTTCCCATTTTATATTAGTGTTGTGATCATGAGCGTCACTCTTTTTAACCTAGTAGCCAGCTCTTTCTCTAAAACTTCATTTAACAGAAGGGTTTTGTTATTCTGCAAAAACAGTGGTAATGGAAATGTCAGTGGAAATTCAAATGTCAGTGTGTCAGTGAATGAAGAGGAAGGTGACAGTGATGGAAGCCAGGGGAGCAGTTCATAGATTTAGGGGATGGCACTGAATCATCCTCTAATGGATGGCATTTTGAATACTGTAAATGAGAGACAAGGAAGCCAGTTAAAAATGAATTCAGCACATGCTTTAAAGCCTCTCTGATTAACTGTGGAAGCTAATTTCTATGTATTAGTGATGAGGTTAAGCAGGGTGAAGTATCCAAAGAATCCATGACTGATGTAAAGAAGGGAACTAAAGTAACTGTTAGGGAATGAAGTTAAACCAGCCTGCTCATTTTGCAGAGTAGAAACACATAGAGAGATCTTGGTGCTCCCTCATAGTTTACTGCACGGTGAAGTCTGAGGTGTTAAACTGACAAATGGATAAGTTTTTGATGACATTTATGATTCTAATGACAACCATTTGAACTGGGCTATAGACAGCCCAGGCTTAAAATTGAAACGTTTTCTACTATCTTATAAAAGCAAAGGCCAAGTTCCATTAAACTTCCTTTTGTGGGTAAGTGTTGGATACTGATGGCTGCTCCGTGAAAATGTATCTTCCAAAATATCAGATGACATTGCTTCCAGTCATGCCAGTGGGAGTGCAAGATAGAAGCCATTGCTAAATCCCTGTTCACTGAACCAAAAGGATGAGTGATCTCTACATTGAATGTGTGTGATGCCTGGTCAGGTGGGAGACATATGTAGCGATATTCAGTCCAAACATCATTAATCAGAACACCTGTCTGGCCTCTAAATAAGATCTTCTGTGGAATAAATATTAGAGACTTTTGCAGAACTTTTTTGGGGACATACAAGCTAAGACAAAAATCTGTTTGCATTCCTTTGTCATGAAGAATTTTGGTGGGAAAATAAGCATTTTCTGGTCAGATGAATAAAATTATGTCGCTGAGTGAAAGAGCAGAGCTGAACAAAAGCTGCAAGGGAGATTGATTATACTGATAAATGTCTTGTGGAGGGAGCAAGATTACATGCAACAAGCATCAGGTCAAAACAGTCCTAACACTTGTAACTTCTTCAGTAAGCACTCTGACTCTTCTTTTGTCAAGTTTGTATGTTACTTAGAGCTTATAGAGTAGATAACTTCTTTAATCTAATTAAGCTGTTGGTGTGAATTTTAAAATGAGTATTTGGCAAGGTGTGCAAATGAAGAAGAGCATCTGCATGGAAGAGAGATATGATCTTATAAACACTACTCTGCAGTCTTAGCTGCTGGGTTGTGCAAGGCAGAACTCCTTGGTTAACCAGTCCTGTGTGGGTTGCTGTTTGTTTTCAGGAGGAGTGAGCTAACACAGATATTTTAGCAATCTAGGGCAATGTTGCTGTGAGATTAATCACACCAATTGTTTCTTCATGACATATGCTATGTAAATGTTTCTAGGGCTCACCTTAAAGAATATAATTATAAATTAATGGAGACCAAACTGTTTTGAATGTGTTGATAATTTGTCACTGTGAAGGCTAGATAGCACTGTAAAGTTACATGTCTGTGCTGGGCCACAGGAAGGATTATAGTCTCTGCCTTCATTGCAATTTCATGGCCTCTGTAAATGCTAGACACAAGTGCTGGTTATGTATGTGGCTGGACAGCATCCAAAGCTTTGCCCATAGGCAAAAGTAGATGAAAGGGAAACGAAGTGGCTGAGGCGATGTAGGAAACAGCTTGTTTATGCACCAACTGTATGTCTTTGTATTTTAATCTTTCCTGAACAGTGTGCTGCAGTATGGAGCATGTTATTTTTATATGGAGTTGGGGCATCTTTTAGAATTTTTACTGAATGTACAAGGCCACTTTTGTTTCCTTTAATGCATGATAGAACCTCATGTCTCAGCAGTGTAGCCTACTATGATCTATATGTATTAAAAGCAGTCTAATTTGATGTTTTGTATGTTCTTAGATTTCAGAGGTTTTTTCACTCTCTTCCTTTCAGACACTTATCCCATTTTTCTCATGGGGAGCCACATGGCAGTTTTATTCAGAGACAATTTATAGAGCCAGAAGTTACCTAAGAAAACATTTTCTTAGCCTAGAGAGCTTATTGAAGAAAAAAAAGGCAAAGCACTAGAATTGTGATTACAGTCATAATTTTCAGGGCTGTTATGGAAGCAACACAATGTTTTATACAGGTTACCTTAAATCTTCATGATTTGCAGTAGCTCTACAGTCATGTCTGTAAAGATGCTGACCTTTGAGGGAAATGTTTTGTCCTGTTTGATCTGAAGCTACTTTTCACAAACATTTGTCTTTTCTTAGGGGAGTTTGTATAGTCTTAACAGCACTTGCACTGACTCTGGCAATTTTGGCAAGGCTAACATCACAGGAGAAATAGAGTTTGCCATAAGATACATCTTCAAAGCTTGCATCTTAGAAATTTGCATCAAGGGATGCAAGAACCTAGCTTATGGAGAAGAGAAGAAGAAAAAGTGTAACCCGTAAGTATTTTGTAGAAAAAAAAAAAAAAAAGAAAATATTCTGGTTTTAAAATACTTATGTATGCTGTGATTGAAATTGATTGATATATGGTAGTATGCTATGTTAGCACTTTCAGAATATCCAACATATCCAGCCCTTTTTACATATCCACACTACAAGACAAATAGATTTCATATTAGTGCTTATTCCATTCTGACCATTTTCTTCTAATAATTTTGTCTTTCCCTGCCTGTGAGCAGGCAGTTGGGTATCTGTGTTGCTGATGAATAACTTTGGATCCTGAGAATATCTGTGCAGATTTTAGCTAAGTTCTGGCCTCAAAATTAATACAGAAGTGGTTAAAACATGAGATGTTGTGTTACTAGTTCATCTACTGACTCACTCTGGGTCACTGGGCGATTGCTATACTACTTCTGCGCTTCCATCTTCTCTAATAAGAACAGAAATTTCAGATCTGCAATGCATTTTAAAATCTAAAGCTGTTTAATAATTACCTATTCTTTTAAGAGGAAGAAATACCTACTTCTGTGGATAAAATAAGCCATAGAAGTTTTGGATTGGATAATTAAAATTTGTGATTTGTCCGTTTATTACTAAACAATCCTCTCTGACCATGAAACAACCATTCATAGAAAATCACCTGGTACAATACCTAACTAACCTGTCCTTGCCCCTGCTGTCACACCACATTTGAGCACTTGAGTGACCACATTGGTATTGTGGAGTTGCAGTCACCTTCACCCAGAAGGAACACGGCTTTTGTACATCTTGCAGAGGACATTCATGACGACAGGCCTGGTGATGAAAGGAGCCTTGCTGGAACAGCAGCTCCTGAAACAGGGCAGTTTGGGAGCGCTTCAGAAGTGGCTCAAGGTTCTTCAAGTCCCCTGGTAATTAAGCCAGGCAAACAGTTGCTGGAAGCCTGAAAGGCAATATGGGAAGTGCCGTGTAGCAAACATTATGTTCTGTATTGGTATATATTTATATATTTCTGTTGGTTCCCAAGCCAACGGGAAAAGTACAGTCAGTGTACTCAACACATTTGCCAAAAAGCAGACTTTTAACTGATGTTTAAAACCTGTTGAATTATTTAGCTTGTTGACTGGTTTGAAGTCTGACTGGCTGCTTTTTAGTTAAATTGATCTGGGGTGATAGAGCAAGAGGCTAAAACTTCTAGTACCTGGATATTAAAAAAATTAGTTTTACCTACGGGTAAGTTTGGAAAAAGTAGGGAAGGTGTGTAAATTCTGCACTGACAATACGAGATACAGCTGATTTTATTTACCCAGTAAGTTAATCAATAGGCTGTTTGAAAAATGGTTTAAATCATAATATTTAAATATATACAAGTACAGTTTAAAAATATGTAGTATTATGTTAATAATTGCTCCTTTCCCTGCCAAGCTGTGAGCAAGCACTCTCTATTGCTAATACTCTCTATTGCTAATACTCTCTATTGCTAATACTCTCTATTGCTAATACTCTTTAGAAGCCATAACACAAATACAGCCCACTGAACTCATATTAAGGGAAATATTTAAGTATGAGAACACATGACATACATCGGGTAGGAATCACTGGTGCTTGATATCAGTCCAGCTTTTTCTTGAATCAATGCTAGGGCAGTTTTGAGTACTTTAGACAATCTCCCACTTTCCCTCTAGTGGCTATTATAACAATTGGCATTTATAAGAGTTATTAATTATTATGTATTGTTTGTAGGATTATACCTTTTTTTGCTATGTGGTACTTGGTATTGTAAAGATGAGATATTCTCTTCATGAACAAGCAGTAATTATCCTAAAGTTGATTGAGTTGATTTTTTTTTTCTTTGAGCACATATTCTCGTTTTTTTCATCATTAAACTGTCACTACAACTGACAAAGTGACTTCCTTGGTGCTATTCTATCAAAGGCTGAGAGTATGAGAAAAACCCCTTCCTATTCAGATCCTAATCCTTTCCCAGTTACATAGAATTGAAACACAGGCGCTGAATGGTGTACAGGGATCCCTATAGTCTGTCTGCTTTTATTGAGAAAGGATATAAATCACAACTTGCCATGTTATTTCTTAGAAAATTACAAAGTCAATATAATTGTTTAAGAATTAAGAAAAATCTCTCATCAAATTTATTTTTCTTCTTAATTTGATTTCCTCCCCCTCACCACCCTTCTTGTCACTTTCTATATATCCTTCTCTCTATCTACAAGGTATGTTAAGGTTTATTTACTTCCTGATAAATCTCCTCGGAGTAAGCGGAAGACAGCTGTCAAAAAGAGCACAGTGGATCCAGAATTCAATGAGACTTTGAAGGTACCATTTGCAATTGAGTGCTGCTAGGCGTGCATTTCCATGGTAATGTCTCCTTTTGTAATGTACAGTCCTGCAAGTTCAGACTCATTCTGATGGGGCAAATCTAGGAGTCACTGACAACAGTTATTTTAAAAAATTATGTTTTTCAGTCCCAATAAGAGAAAATGGGTTTGGAGTTACAATGGTAAATTGCAAACCATTAGAAGAGTCTGCTTTTGTCCGTGAAAACATTCCTAATGAATTCCAGTGTTGTTCTGAGTTATCTTGTGGCAAAAGCAAAGTGTCTTCAACATTTTTTCTGTACATTCAGGAACTGGGTGTCTTGCAGAGCAGTTAGTATTTTACACAAGTATCCCTTTCAACTGATACCCCTTTTGTCAGTGCCACTGGGAGTGTCTCTGCAGTTAGCTGAATGCAAACTGAATTCCACCACCTCTGAAACGTTGTCTGCTTCCTTTTCCCTGTGCAACTGGTGCCAGGCTATCTCTTCATAGTGTCTAATTTCAAACATTAATAATCTCACTGGAGAACAGTAGTTACACTTTTAATTCCTTAATGCCTTGCAATATTACTTCTCACATCCTTGTAAGAACTGTGTGTAGAAAATAGGAGCCATTATTCTCAGTTCTCAGACGCTTAATGAAATGTGAAGCTGAAGCTGAGTACTGTCAGCTGGGAGAGGCTGGATTAGTTTGGTTGTTCCCAGCTCCAGTATTGTACTTGGATCACTACCAATCCGTTTTTTGTGTGCATCAGCAAGCTGCAGTAGCAGATAAGATGAGTTCTTCAGTAATGCATCTTGGAAGAGAGATGAAACTAAGTTAATAGAGTGATAAACTTGTACTTTGACTACATGAAAGTTTCAGTGTTGCTTTCATCTCTTGGTGTGTAATGAACATCAAGAATCTGTAGAGTGAAACAGGCAAAATGTTTGAGAATACTGTTGTTAAAATCTGATAACAACAGAAAAAGATTTATGTAATGTCTATGATTCTCATATAGCCCAAAGTCTGTATATACGGCTTAAGCTGGGAGAAAAAGGAGCCTGAAGTTGGAATAATTGGTCCTTATTTTATAGTCCCTTTTCAGTGCTAGAGTCATGCAGAACTGATAAAAGGAGAGTGAGAGCCATGCCTGAGCTGGCTGCATGAACACTAAAGGTAGTTTAGTTAGAAGTCTTTTAAATTAGTTTAATTATTAGTTTATCCAGAGTAGCAGAGATGGTCAAAAGAGCATAGCACTAGTGCAGGTAAATGACATCATGACACTAAGATCTAACTTGGTGAGATTCCACTGCAAATTAAGGCACCTGCATTTAGGTAGCTGCATGTGTGATAGTTGTGTAATTGCTCTTGGGAATCACTGGAGCCCTGGATGATTCAGCCCCTCAGCCTACACCCAGCTTGTGATTCATCAGCCTAAACATGGGTAGTGATGTCCTCGTCCAATGCCATCGCCTCCAGCTTTCAGCCCAGGGGGGTGCATGTCACCTGTAGGCTGGGTATCACATCTGCCAGTCTCACATGGGTATATTAGGTCCCCAACAATGTCTCAAAGGCTCTGACTATGTTCTTGGAGAGAATCAGGGCTTTAATTAGTGGTCAGCTGGATTACTTCCTTGTCTCTACTGACTGCATTGTGTAGATGTCCTCTGACCAGAATGGAAGTTTTAGCACCTTCATTGGTGTCTTAATCTTGAACTGGCCTCCAGAGCAGCCAAATTCTGCTGGGAGTGTAAAACAGAAATATATATATAAAAACCAAACAGCAAAACTGGTCAAGAATTATTTAAAGTTCTGAATCTTGTTCAAGGCAAGTCAAGGTATTCCTGGAATGTTGTTTCATGTTTGGATGAGCATTAGTTAGCACTTAAATAGTGGAGTAATATGTAGATTGCAAAGCACATTCAGACTACATGGTTCTGTCTGCGTCCAGATGCCTTCAGCCATGTTGCGGCTGTGCTTCCTTTGAGCGGGTTATAAGCATGGGCCTACCTTCATCCTGTCTACTGCTTTGTAAATATTGTTTATCTTTCTAGTACAAGATTGAATACTCCCAGCTGGGAAATCGGCAGCTTCAGATCTCCGTGTGGCATGCAGGATCACTCAAATACAGAGTGTTTTTGGGGGAAGTGGTGATTCCACTGGCAGCATGGAATTTTGAAGAGAACTCGATGCAGTTGTTCAACTGGTACCAGCTCAAACCCAAGGTGATTCTTAGTTTTTGTGCTTAGTTTTATCTTAAGAGCAAGAATTACTGAAAACTATGAAAAAGGTCACTCTTCTGAGATCATTGAGGGAAGAATGCTGTCAGTCCAGCCCATTAGTAAGACATGTTGCAAACATAAATAAACTGCGAGAAATAGAATGATTGCAGTAATACAATTTCTGTATGTCTGTTTCTTCAGCTTGAAAAGCATGAAGATGATCTTATCCAGTACAGTGGTGAACTCCTCGTGTCTGCAAGACTGTCAGTACCAGCCCAGTGTAAAAATTTCCAATTTGAAGGTATGAAATGTTCCAGCATATGAATCCCTTGGCTAGAAAAGAATTTAGATGAATGAAGGACTGACAGTGTGTCCATATAATATTCCTGTACGGGATTTATAACAGCTACGGCAAATAGTGGTTTGTGGTGTATTATATTTTAACTTAATTAAAATTCAAACATTTGACAACTTCATATTTTTGTTCTTTTTAATGCCAGCAAAAGCTGCACATTATAACGGCAGCAGTATGATGCATCCAGCTGTTTGGCAAGCTCGTGCCTGTTGTGGTATTGCCAGCAGACTTTGGAGGTGTTGCAGCAGTTTTACTGCCCAAGGCAGAGACTGCCGTTTGAGGGAAAAGGCAGAAGGGAAACCACTGCAAGGCTGCCAGGCTGGCACCCTTGGCTTCCTCCAGTGGTCTCATTTTAGACAGATTGTTTCAGTTGGAAGTTGTTAGACTCAAAATGTACAGTCAGGATTCAGTTTTTGGTAGTGAAAGACTTGTAAGGTACATTAAGTATTGCTGTAGTGTGTCAGAGCAAGCACCTGCTGGTGGAGTAAAATAAGCACTTTGGGTGTGAGGGATAGGACAACCTCATTTTCCTTACCTCCTGAGATCACAGAAAAGCAGACGTTCAGAGCTTGAGTAATGCTCTCTGTCTTCAGGACTGTAGCAACAGTTAGAGACCAATAGGAAGATCTAATAAGCTGTTAGGTTAATTTTGTTCCCTTTTCTTTTCCAAATGACCACAAGGTTATCAGCTTGCTTTCTTCCATTTATCCTCCCTACACAAGCCTGTGTACTGGGTCTCTTCTCTATAAGTGGAGCAGTATCAGACCATGGGTTTGGCTGTTTCCCCTGCCACGTTCCTGTGGGTATTGCCCTGTGTTTATTTTTCACAAATACGGTGGAAAGCTTTGTCTTTGGAACAGGAATCACAAAGCAACCTGCTACTCACTGCTTGGGGTTTTTTTGTGTATGTGAATTATACACTGTACAAGCAGGTTAAAATCTTCCAAATTATCCTAATACAGCATTGTGGCTCCTTATCTTACAGTACTGCTTAGGCATTTTCCTACTTACTTATAGCAGCATCTTAAGCTATCAGCTGAACTAACTGGTTATTTCATATGACAAATGCTCCTGTTTCAGGAAAAAAAGACCAAGGAGTTCCCAACTGCCAGCTTCAGGTTATGATATTTGGGGCCAAGAACTTGCCCATGCCGAGATCTGCTGGAATGCTGAACTCATTTGTTAAAGGGTATGTATGGAACCTAACACTTCAAATAGAAAATGGCACATACCTTCCTTCTGTGCAAATGTGTTTATTAACGTGTTTTCATCAGGACACTGGCATGTGAAGTGGGATTGTCCACACTCGTAGTCAGGGTTCCTTACAGTGGTGACACTTGGGTGTCTGCACAACAGCAGCATCAGAAGAGTGGTGACGGGTCCCACCTGCTCTCTGGGTCCTAAACAGAACTTCAGAATTTACTGATATAATTAAAATTTAGAATTCACTAGTTTAAGTATCTGCTTTTAGATATTAGGAGAGTAAAAAAAAAAAAAATAGTGCAAATTAAGAGGGTATTTTCATTTCTATTTTCAGTTCTGCCTTTGCAGAATTAAATACAGCTTTGGATACATTGGAAACTTTTTCTAGATATTTTAAACAGAGGAGGGCCTCAATTTTTCTTCAGTGTGTTGGGCAGCTTGTATGTGGGATCATTTTACTTTCTTACTGTCAGGCATCAGATGCTATTGGAAGTATGATACTGGGGTAGACTTACAACATCTCATAGAGCCATTTCACCTGCTGTGGCATTTATCTGCAGTGAAATGGATGAGTGTTTTATCTGCTGAAAGGCAGGTTTGAGGCAGTATTGGGTAACAGAACAGGGAGTAAAACCTCCTTCAGCAGTCAGTGACAGCAAAGGAAAAGCAGACCAGAAGACCCTACTTGAACCTACACTGAAGGCAAACAGGAAAAGGAGCAAGTCCTAAAATAAACACACTGGCACCATGTTCTACCTTGCACTTAAGCTGGACATCTTTGCTATTTAAGGCAAACTAAAGGGCCCTTTGGTTTACCTTAAATTTGGATTACTGCAAATGTTTTGTTTTCAAATCAGTAACCTTGCTGAATTCTTATTTTCTTGGGGAAGTTGTCTTATCCTTCCAAACAAAGCAGAGGTAAAGCGGAAGTGTCCTGTCCTGAAGAAGGAAGCTTGTCCCCAGTGGAAGCACTTGTTTGTCTTTGATGGTGTTACCTCAGCTCAGCTACAGCAATCATGTCTACACTTGACTGTCTGGGAACAGTCAGCTTTCAGCTCAAGTGATCACTTCCTAGGAGGAGCCAAGCTTGGTGCACGTAAGTTCTTTATTACTAAAAATTGAAGGTAATTAGGAAAAAATTTCACTTAATTTGCATTCTAAATAATAATATTTACACTGTGCTATTTATTACCTGCTGTCATGTGCCTACACATGACAGGGGCCCCAGCCCCTGTTCTAAGGAATCTGCAATCTTGGTCTTTGATCCTGCAAGAACTGATGTACGTGTTTTAGTTCAGGTCTGTGCAGAAACTCAAGGTTGTCAGTGGGAATTCTCAGGAAAGCCATTTGTTAGCATGGTAACTTTTAGGGTCAGAGCCTGCTTAATGCTAAGACAAGCACAGAAGAAGTGGGTGCAGTTAACTCATTTAGAACTCCATGTATATCTTTTAAGACTTGTTCCTTGAGCTGTTTGCTATGAATTGGCTAATTTTAAATTCTATCTCATCAAAAGGATGCACAAGAACTAATGATCTAATGGGCTCCAACCTTGCTTATGTTTGTTATTATTTTACATCCACAAATCAATCTAATCACTGGGAGCTACAGAAAGTGGAACTTGCTCGGAAGGGGCTATTGCATGTCTGAGTTTTGGGCTCTACTCTAGCCTAAGAACAAGCTCTTTCTGAAGGCAGAGAAATTTGTGAGAAACCCTCTGCTCTGTAGGCCCTGTTTAACTGGTAGTTGACTTGAAGACTGCCCAATGCAGTCTCTCACCCCTGTCTTCCGAGAGAGTGAATAAGTGCTTTGGTTTCAGTATTTGAGATTAAAGGCTCAAAGAGGTTAAGGCTGTCACTTTGGCATGGTATCAGCATGCACTTTAGAGGAGCATTATCCCTGGTAATAACTCAGTGCTGTGCAGGTTTACTCATGAACTTCTTTTGATTTTCCCACCCAGCATTTTCCTTTCTGCTGGAGCAGGGACTACCTGCTTCTGAGTGAAGACTATGCAAGCCCTAAACCTAGTGATACACTGAAGTCACCAGAGACAAACACAAGCAGGGGACTTGCCATTGTGCTGTTATGTATGCACGCTTGCTCTTCTGCTTTTAGACACACAACCAAAAACTTTGCTGCAGGCTGAGTTTTTCAGAGAGTGATCCTAGTTTAACATCATTTTATTTACACAATCATGTAAATTATGTTTCAAAAGTATAACTATAATTTAGTGCAATTAATGTTTTAGAGGAGCTACAGAATAGCTGAAATGTCTGTGGAAGTGGGAGAAACCTGTTTGTTACCTAATCCATTGGCCAGAAGATGAGTAAGGCCAAGTGCAAAGTAACTTTGTGACCTTTCCTTTTGCTCTCCTGCAGAGGACTCGTGTGGCTCTACAGACCTTGGTTTTCAGTCAGTGCTCCAATGGCAGGAAGTGTTCCGCAGCCCCAACACATGGATGGACTTTACACTTATACTGCATTCAAATAAGGAGAACTTTAAATCATGAGAGATAACTGCACAACAACTTTTCCTTGTCCCTGTGTGATGTTTGAAATTCAAGTGGCACGTACCCTTCAGGTCTGGGGAGGCGTACACTGCAACAGTACCTACTCCAGCACATTCTGAAGGGTTTTATTTCTCAAAAAGTTAAGGCTTTGTTATCTGTGTCTCTAGCTGGAGTATAAGGTTAGTATTGTTTCTTCAGGAGTGACAAATTCAGTTTGTGAGTGCATTATGCTGACAAGATCATAATGCAGTTTTCCATTTCTGGGCATAGCAGAACAGTAATTACTTAATTTAATCACAAATAGGAATACTTCTTAGAGAAAATACCAGTTACCCTAAAGTTACATGCTTTCCCTCAGATCATGATGTTTTATACATGTTCAGAAAGAAAACTAGTTTAACTGCTTACTGCAGCTGGGTGATGCTAACACTTCTGTGCTTCAGAATTATATCTACAGTGCCACTTAGGGTCATATGACCCTAAAAAGCTTTGACCTGTGGCCACATGCCTCTTAAGCATGTGGTACATCACAGTGCTTAAAAACCATGTAAAATATGTAAATTCTCCCTCAGGAGGAGTGTGGGACAATAGCTAATAGAGTAAGTGTGGCTGTAGGAAGCTCTTTGTTCTTTTCAGCTGCTGATGTAAGATGGTATTAACAAGTCTGATCCAGATGGTAGACAGCACAGGATAAGAGTTTAGCAAAAGTTATCATTTATTTATGTGAACTGATGGAAATGAAGGCTTAAGGCCCCACTACTGTGTCAGTTCACTTGGCCTCACTTGCCTGTAGTGTTACAGGCAGCAGAAACTTCACAGATACAGCTGTCACTAGCTCTGCTGGTACACACCTCCAGCTGTTAAAGCAAGTATTTGCCTGCCTTCCTTTCCAAGACAGTGCAGCTTTTAAGGACTTCAGACACAGGGATTCATATGCTAAAATCAGGAGGTAAAAGAGCAGTAGTGCATCTTACACAAAATACACACCACACAAGAAACACGTGACTCCAACTCCTTTGTTACTTTGCAGATCTTTTATTTAGATGTTTGCTGCTGCAAATAAAAAACCACACAAGATTCAACTCAAGTATAAAGCAGCATAGATGTTGTAAATGGAAGAGAAGAACTGACAACATACTGTATCTCACTTTCTAACAGATTTTCAAGGAAAGGGGGAGATTAGTGGGGAAGGAATGGTCACAGAAATGCTCTCTACTAGAGAGAATACAACTGTGATATAAACAAGCAGTCCCTTCATCTTTGGAGTCTGAAACTTTAAATCAAACATTTAAAAAAATTAGAAAATTTGTTAGAAAAATAGGTGCAGTAAAATTGTATATATTGGATCATGTGTACATATAACAGTTTTCATTAAGTAAAAAAATGATCTTTACAAATAATGCTTTATAGCAAATAAGCAGCTGCACTGTATCAGAGTACAGTGTTGTTTAGGCATTTTTACAGATGCAAGTCTTAAATCTGAAAAGTAACAAAATATACAGAGCAAAACTATTTTTCCTTTAAACTAGTATTGCAATCCATGTATTGCATGGTTTTTATATATATATATAAATACTAGACTATAACTGATCAGTAATAAAGCTGGAATGCACACACAGTAGTGTATTAGATTCCAACACAGTATTTGCCCAGTTGTTCCATGAGGAGGGTATCAGCATCCCTGTGCCACACTTGTGAACCATCGCTGTAGAATTTCTCTAGATGAGAACAGCAACCAGCAAAAGCCTAATTTTTACACAAAGTAGTTCTGAGGTGTTGTCAGTTCCTTTTGGGGGGCCGGGGAAGAGGAACACAGACATCAGGACCAGGAAAAAATAGGGTGTACACACATATACATGTACATATACACATGTACAGGTGCTTGCAACAACAACCTGTTCTACAACCTGTCTTCTCAGCTGTTGGACTTCACACTGTAACTAATAATACAAAGACATATGGCACAAAATTCACCCACAGTTGCTTATTTTTAGACCAAGCTGAATCCAGCACCTGCACAGGACACACATCTTCAACTAGAAGCACGGCCTATTAAAATTTGTCTTGCTTGAAAGAGATGTGACATAAGGCCTTTTGGCACTAAGCAAAGGCATGGGCAAGTTACCAGGATCAGTGGTATGATGAGTTTTTAACTATATCAAATTTAATAGAAGTTATGGAATAAAAGGGAGATTCAAACACCTCTGGGTTTAGTGAATATTTGTTAAGTGTCATACAATGACCCCTCCTCAGGGAAAAAAACAAACAAACACAACAACAAAAAAAAAAACAACAAACAAAACAAATCCACAGCGTTAAGATCTGCCTTTTCCCACAGTCCTGCATTCTTGTTAACAAGCATCATTACATCGCCTCAAACTCATCGATTCTCTGCTTGGTGTTGCCTTGCCGGATCTGCCGCAGCGTCTTGTACTTGTCACGTCCCTGTCGCATGTTCTCCGAGTGGATAATATCATTGTGGGTCCTCTTATTTTCATCTCTAGCCTGGGCCAGCTCATCTGTCAGTGCCTGCAACAGAAAACATTAAATACAGATTATACACAAGAAGCTTTCAGCTCATGACAGTATTGTTCTTTGGCAAAAGTGGACAGTTGTTCGATGGCTGGACAGCTCAGCCATACAGACACAGCATAGGCTTCCCATAAACACTATGGATGATGTAAGTGAGCTCAAAGTCTGAGCAACAAGAGTGATCTTTATATACCTTGTCTTTAATTCAAACTGCCTATAGGAATTGTAAACAAATAGAAGCTCTAATGCTTTGTGTGCTTAACCTGGTGCTTAACTGATCTATTTTCCAGGAATGATGGTTTCAATTAGTCCACCTCCTCCAAGCAGCGCCTTACCCTCAGTTGCCTCTGTACACGTTCGTTCTTCTCTGCTTCAGTAATGCGCTTCTCCTCGTTGCGGTCATTCCTGATCCCCTCGCTGGAGAACTCCGCGCTGTAGGCAGAGTACTCTGATCCTTCGTCTTGCAAGTTATCATGGACATGGTAGTTCACTGGCTCATAGACAGGTGGTGGGGGTGGAGGCGGGGCTGTCATTACCAGGTGTAGCTCCTCCTTTGTCTTTACCAAATCCTCCTGGGCTTCCTTGGCCTTTGGGAAAAGTATGAAAAGTATTTTAACTGCACTGATTGCTTTAAACAAGCTTAATCAACACTTCATTGCTTATCTTCCCAGCTTTTCCAATCTACTATGAAAAGCAAGAAAGAGGAAATTAAAATTAAATCTCTGCAGCTAACACTACTGTTAGTCTTACACAGATTTTTTTTTTTGCTAGTGATGCTATTATCATCCACTGTGTAATGTGTAGGGGATCTGAACAAAGAATTTTCTTCCAATAAAACACAGCCTAGGAAAAATATTTCTGTGGGAAGCTACAGTTATCTTCATCCTGTTACCCATTTGAAGAGCTGTAGGCTGTAAATTTGGGTTCCACAGAGCAAGAACTTAATTCCCAAGTTGGCATTTGTAATGCTATTACACACTAGGCAGTCGGCTTCCTCACTGCTTCAGTGGCTCTGCCCTCCCACGTGGTCTGCAGCGCTAGCGGGAGGGCAGCGGGAGCACCAGGCACTCTGAGCCTTCCATGGTTTAATTCTTGGTTTTAGCACGTCAAATTATTAAACTCACCTGAGCCAGGTACCAGGAAGCCACTGACAATAACCCACACTCTGCCAGACTGGTACCTGCAGTGTGGCTGCATCTGTAGCATCTTCTCAATTGATGTCACGTTTTCAGACATTACATCAAGGATCAAATGCATCATTTATACATGTGCCCCTTCCCCCCCCAGCTCCAAGATAATGATCACAGTTTTAGGTTTTATACAGGCTTCCACTTTGAATTTTGACTGAATTTGTTCCAACAATTTTTTTGTTGAAAAAAAGGTGTCTTGCAGGCATACTGCACTTTCATCACAACTCTGCCCTTCTCTGCTAGTGCGCAGACATTTGTCTCCACATGTTTAGAGAAGTCACATGAGGCTGAGTGCCACACTTTGCTCTGCTCAATTGTAGAACTTCACAGAAACTTTGTAAAGCAGATACTCACTCTAATTTGCCACTCTTCAACCTCACTTTCTTTACGTCTCCTTGCCTCTTCAAGAAGTGCAATCTTGGCCGTATACTCTGCGAGCTCTGTAGCCTGTTGAATAATAAAACTGGAATAATGACTCTTAAAAAAACCAAACAAAACACCAAAATCAAAGAAACACCGTTGACTGAGAAAACACCCAAGTGTTACACTCCACTGTAATAAAGACTGAATAGGAAATGAAGAACAGAAAGCAGATTGCTCATGATAGAAACTAGTGCCACAATGATGCTATCACATGGTCTAGTACTTTGCTGCACTGTTTTTCCCTGGAGAACATGGCTTTGCCTTACTACAGGGATATAGTAACAAGCCTGTATATCTTATCCTTAAAATGACTGGGTCTTACCAACTGTTCCTGACTCTTTATCTGGTCCATAGTTTGTCTCTCCAGCTCTTCCTTGGCCTGAAGAGCTGCCAAACGATCAGCTTCCAAGCGCTCTGCTTCCTCCTGGGCTCGTCTCCTTTCCTCCTCCAGCTGAATGGCTCTTTGGATCTGATCTGAGAGCTCTGGAAAAATATGGATCAATATGGTTAGTCACAAGCTAACCACAGTCCAAGCTCCAGTCACAAGCCTGGTCAAAGGGAAGGGACTGCAGACAGTCTCTTAGGTAGCTGCAGAAATCACAAAAAGCACTTTACTCCAGCCTGCAACATCCCTTCACTGCACACCTCAAAGTAATTATTTGCATAATGCATCAAGTAACTTAATTCAGAAGTAGTCAGCAGCACATTATAATTACATCTTCTGCAAGATATTTGCACTGAAGTCTGTAAGACTGACGTGATTTTGCTACCCTTAATTGACAGTTTACTACAAGGACCAGATGTTGGTGTCTCCAATCCACCCATCTGTGCATTGAAACAGAAGCTTCTGTTTCATTGGAAAGACTTTTTCCCC